AAAAAAAATAAAAAATTTAAAAAAAAAAAAAAGAAGAAAGCTTTCCACAGAGTAGTCACCAGTCACACACACGTAAAATAAAAACAGGACTTGTAAATTAACACTCCTAATCCTACAAGAGAACCTGGACTTGTCTGTGAAAAATATGAAAAATGTGCACATACCTTTTTGACTGACTGGGTCACAAAATATAAACATGCTTTCCATGCTGGAAAACATCTTAACAGCATGTAAACTTAGGACAGGGCAGGGTAAATATTCAAAACTTGTAAACTAGGAAGGCATCACAGTTGCATTCCCAGAAAAATGTATTAACTAATGGAGCTCTTATGGATCAGTGCTCTGAAATACATTGTGTTTTATCTATTTGCTGCTAGTACACTGATGCCTCTTGTAAGTGGAAGTATCAAGAAGAACAGTTTTTATTTTGGCTTGGGTGGGTATACTGCTCAGATCTCAACACAAATCTCTGTTCTAAAAACAAAAGAAAAAACAGAACATGCAATCTCTTGGATCTGTTAAATAGGTTTTGTTTTGCAAATTAAATTATGATTAGAGTTTAGCTCCCTTGTTAGACATTCATTTAGTGAAGATTTTATACTCTATTCATCAGGAAGCTGCATTTCACATGGGATTTTAAATCATCTTTCTAAATATGATCTGCATAATTTTCAGATGCAGTATGAAAAGAAAATTGCAGCAATGTGCATTAAAATCCTTCTTGTAAAGCCTAATCACGTTCCCATGCAGTTATTACACTAACACCAGAGTAAGTTAGCAGGCTCAGTTACCAGTTCACTGTTATCGAAACAATAGGTTACTGCAACAAATGGTGTTATTCATGATTCTTATGTCTTATTTCTATACAAGAATCCTGGCTATTTTGCATGTCACTCCAGAACACAGTACCTTGGAAAACAAAAGAATGTAAATAGCCTTACAACTTAAGAACAAAACAAGAAAAAAAACAGTAGCCTTATAAAGGTAGCCTATTAAAATATTTTTGGGTTTTTTTTTATAATGACTGTTTCAACCTCTGACTGCTGGCAGAATACTGTGTTACCTAAGGTAAAAATACAGGAAAGCACAATATTAAACACTGCTATGTTAAAAGTCACTCACTCCCTACCCAAAATGTCTTATACACTCTCCAAAATTCTTTCAGTAAGTTCTACTACCTGCTACATCACTGTACAAACTCTAGCCTATAATAAGTTATATTCAATTTGGGTAGAATCATGAACTGAGAGATTTTTCAATCAAGTCCATCCCTCCTAATAAAAAACTGCTTGCTACAGAATGTTTTTTAAGACTGTAATTAAGCCATCTGTCAATTCAGTAACTTGGTATACAGTTAGATATTCAATTCTACATCAGAATGTTAGGTTTGTATTTTCTCAATTTGCAGACAGAATAGAATAGGCAGAAACACTTCCCACAGAAAATCTTGACCACAAACACTGAAGATTGCCGAGTACTTCATAAAAAGAAAAGTTACAGACCACTAATCACCACATGCATTTTTACAGCGCTTATTGCAGAAGTATCCAGATGCTCACATGCCTCTCAGCTTTGTAGTACAGTAGTGTTTTGTCATTCTACCAGTAGACATACTTAAGGTGCTAGAGTAAATAACTCAGGACTAAGGAGGCAGATGGAGGAGACAAATTAAAAACCAATACTGGTAGACAAATTCTTTAAGTCATATGCAAAAAGACTTAAGTATATCTTTTTCAAAAACTAACATTCAGTACCTTTTTAAATTTTCCTTGTCGCTTTGCTGCAGACTGCCCCTGGGAGTTAGAATAACATACTGTAAGAAAACATGCACACACCACATAGGATGGAGACACCTTCTCTGTACAATTATGTTTATACTTTCAACCTACAGATTTTTTAAACTTTTAGAAGTCACATCTGTGATCAAACATGCTCTTAAAGCATGCTCTTTCAGGTTTTTAAAAGTAATTAAACAATGCATTATTGTGTATACAGTCCGTTATTCCTGTAAGACAAGCAAGTGTTGTTAACCACTTAGCTTAAATTAATAAATTACAGAAATTCAGCCTCAAAAGTGTAGATTTTAGATTTTGACTGTTTAGTGGCATTGTTCTATTTCATAATAAATACACAGCAATTAGACACATTTTCCCTTACATTGCATCCACTTGCTGACCTAGAGACAACTTTGCTGCCTAGTCCTCCTTTTTTGTCTCCTGGAACATAGTGAGGTTCACTAAAGGCAGCAGAAAGTATCTGATGCTATTTGATACTTTTTTCAGTGAAATAGGACCATAACAGTAATGCCTTAGACTATGACATGAGACACACCTCAGCTAGAATTTCCCTCCATGTAAGCTCTTAAGTGTTCTTCATCAAATGAAATTTGACAGGCAATACCTACCTACCTCCTACTTCCCATCCCAGAAATCACTGTATATAACCACTTAGTCTGGTTTAAAAATAAGATAGATGACAATTACAACCAATAGTTCAAGGAAGTGCAGAATTCAAGTTAGGGAAACTATACTACACTAATGGATTTACCATGGATTTCATAAAAGTATACTTGCAACCTTGCAGGAATCACAAAGAAATATAAACCTAAGTATTTTAGTGTTCTTAGTTACTGGTTTTTCATCACTGACCATAAATTCTCCTGACAGACACTATCTAACCTGCAGCTACATGCAATCTGCCCCAAAAGCACTACCTACAACCAAATCGGATTGAATGAACTAAACTTTTCTAGTCAGCAAGATCTAAAGGTATGTGCCCACCTACCCATAGAAACTTATTTTCAATAAAAACATACTCTAGTTTTATACATCTTATCACATCTTGTGATATGGACACACATGAACTACCTCTAAATAGTAACAATTCCCAGGATTGATTCAAATTTATTCTCGACTTTGCCATCTATTTAAAAATAGCTAAGGGAATCTTCTAAATACCTTAGCACCAGATACACACACGAGTGATCTGGTTGCTATAATCACTGTTGCACTACAGATTCATACAAGTTAGAAAACAGTTTTTACAGAATGCTGTATTATGAGCAAAAAACCCTACAGCTTTTTTCTACCATCACATACAAAGATTTTACATCATTCCATTGGAGCATACAGCTACATTAGTGGTTGACAACATCAGTGTGCAGCAGGTAAGAATATCTGCTTATACATTTCAGTCAGCAAAATTCCTACTACTTTGTAACGGCAACACGTAGGCATTAAGAAAGCACATATTTTTGCTGAAAACTGTATGCATGCAAGGAAGAGTATAGCTGTTTATTAGAGAACCAACATGCAGAAAACACAATATATATGCACGTATTTTTCATTCAAAAATTAGACTAAGCTAGGTAATTAAATAAAATCACTTTAAAGGCTGCCACACCAATAAAAAAGCAGTTGCTTCTACAAATACAAGGATTCAGAGTGAAATAATTACAATTCAAAATTCAGAAAATGAAATTTTAAATTATAAGATGAAAATAAAAATAGAACTCCTTAGAAGTTATTCTGACTTTATAATGTAACAACTGTTTCTAAAATGCACTATGTTACTAAGCCTAGTGCTCTTTTAAGTACTAAAACCATGAAATACAGCACTTCCTGGCATGCCATTGACTCACTTCAAAAGTTTCAGAAAATGAAGCCATCATCCATTTCAAATACTCACAGCTTTCTTTCCAAGTTCTGTTTTAGACAGTGTAAGAGCTCCTGCAAGATAACATCCTGGTCCTGCTCCTTTAGGTATTCTATTCAAAGAAAGAAAGTTCAGCATTAAAACCAGGTTCATTCATGTTCCATGGGGACTACAATAAAGAATCCAAACAGTGAAAGAGCAACACAAGAGGAATTACCAAACCTAAACAGGTAGACACTATCAAAGTATCACTTTAATTAGGCACAGAGGCAGCTGGTTAGATGTAGATGAGAAAACACAGGTCTTCATTAACTTACTTGTCATCAGGCAGAGATGTAACAAAGAACGGCTGACTGTGTTTTGGTGGTAATGTCAAACTGTTGGATTTCTTCTTCCCTAAGAGAGCAAGGCTATGGTTTTCATAAATATCTAAGCTCAAGGTACTAGACAACCTATGAGAAACAATAAACGGAAGGTCTTTGATGCGATCCAGCTCACTGTTCTGTTCGTGACGAATTTGTAACCGAATAGTGTAATCTCCTTTTTCCAGTTTCACAGAATACTGAAAGAAAGAAGTTCTCATAAATGTCAAGATTTAATACTTCACCATTCACAAAGAAACCCAGAAATAAGACTGTTGTGTTCTTCTTGAACCAGATAGCTCTAGCCATTTAAAATATGCTAGATTGCTAAGTTTTGGAATCTCCTGAAAACAGTGCTTTCAAGAATTGGTAACAGCCAAAACACATTTTGGGTTGATTGAAAAAAATTAAGTTTCCAGACCACAAAATAACCTGACATAATTTGTTCCTATTCTAACACTGTATTAACTGCTCAAATAATAATAATTCTTGATAAACTTTCAGTTCAAAACCTCTAGCAGGTTTGCTTTGATACACTTTGAATTTACTACGTAACTGTGGTGTAGATCACAGGACACCTACTGTCTCAAACACTGTACCAGCTTTCACACAAAGGGACCCAGTATTCCTGTGAGATTCAAGGCTGCAGTTTAAAGAGCTGCCAGACTCTTTGCCATGAGCTTTTTATATACTCAGTTAAGGATATGCAGATAAACTCTCCATTTATTTAAAAAACCCAACAAAACCCTGCCCCCCACCAAAAAAACCCAGCCTCTCAAAGTCTTAGTTTTGAAAACATTCTCTCATTTCTATCAATCTAAAAGGGCACCACGTGGACACTTGGAGCAGTAGCACACTGTTTGCTGCTGCTGCTGCTGCTATAACACAAAAGGCAGTCCTAAACAGAAAGGGACAATAATTCAGAACTACCCTGCTCCCACAGACTCCATCTCCTGGGTTAGGGAGTCATGCTTCCTGTTTGTATTTCTTCCTGGATTAAATAATTTTGAATTGCTTTAGAATTGTTCTATGATGCACAACACCAGAGATTTACAGTGTGGTGGTCCACCAGGTGTAAGTAACAGACTATTTTGGTGATTTTTAGATTTTAGCACCTTAAAATGCAGGCTAAGGAAGCGAAGTTTAAATAATGCAATTTCTGAAATCCATTTATAAGACTCAAAAGACATGCGTTAAAGTTCATCTTTTGTACACTTCCAGAATGATCAATCTATCAAAATAAACATTACATTGATGAAGTTTAACTGATTTTGGATTGGTAAAATATGGTTTCAAAGCCAAACGCTATGGAAAATGTTTCTTTTTTTTTTTTTTTACCCCAACTCTCCTCTGCACAAGATCCAGACACATGGTCTGTTCCAGCAGAAAGAGATTCCCACAGAGAGTACAGTATCTACAAGTCTCGTGCAAAAAACTTGCCTTGAAAGATCATAACAAAGTAAACCACACTACAGCATTTAAAAAGCTGTTTGAAAACATCAACAGCACAGAAGACAGCCTTCATGGACACAGAAGCCTCTGATCTATCAGCAGACAAGTCAGACTACAGAAAAAATAATGGATCCTTTCCACCTTAAGCAGAAAAAGTCATTGTTGTAAAAAATCCAAACATAAAGACAACAAGAACTTGAATTTACTTCTTGAGAAGCACTGGTCAAAAAAATCAAAAGAACTCACAAGTTAACAGCTTTTTGTAGAAATAAAACACACTGTAACTCTTTCTCCTTCCTTGGAAGAGAAAGACAAACTCATAACGTTCTATTTCACAGAAACAAACCTGTCAATCACTGCTTTTTCATACAAATATACCACCACTCAACCTGTCTTCATGTGAAGATATAAGAACATTATAGCTACGCATCAGGAAATGTTAGGAGCTAACAGTAGGCCTGGGACATGAAAAAGGATAGACATTTTCACACTCTGCAGAAAACAGAAGGTAAAATAAATACATTACTCTGTACCTGGTGTGGATAGGCATCTCCTGAACCCATTTGTCTTTTGTTCTGGTCAAAAATAATCCAAAGCTGACTATCAAATTCAGATTCGTACAACAATTCACAAAGAAGTGGACAGCTTGGAGTCACTTCTCCACTCTTCGGCTATTAAAACAAAGATAAAAACATTTAATCCACTACTGATTAAAACAAGTAAAATCATTACACATATATTCAAAAGGATACCTGAACTAAAGCCCATTTCAAGCAACAGTACCTCCCAAAGAGAAGCAAATCAGAATTCTGACTGTAGAGTCTAAAGCGTGAGTCTCGACCTTGTTTCCAACAGAAAACTGAAGTGTGGTTTTAAAAAACATGCTGTATTTCTTAAGTACTTTTCAAAAAACAACCACCCATAACCCTTACCTGATGGAAGTTATAGGTCAAAATCATCTCATACAGTTGACGATTATTTGGTAAAATATCTCTGGAGCCCAACGGTTTTATTTTTGCACTCACTGGTCTGCAGTTAAACAAAAACAATGGAAGGTACTATTAAGAAACATGTATCCTCTATCAAAATTTGTCTTGCTTAAGCAGAAGCATATTCCGAAGTACAACTGAATTCAGCACATGCAATAACATCTCTTAAAATATTGTAACTATCCAAGCAGCACAAACTTCTCAGTTAAAATGAATGTCCGTTAAAAAGCAAGGTTTAGTGACATCACAGGCACTGTCAACGTAAGAAGCCAACAGAACTTAGCAAGAATGTCTAAATGCTCAATATTACAGGCCATAAAAAAGGGGGGGGGGGGAATCAACAGACTTCAGGAATAAGAAAAAAAACCCCCAAAACCAGGTTACTTTACATCTCTAGTATCCATACTACAATCAGCACTTTTATTCATAAAGATTAATGGCACCATAATTAGAGGACAGAATAAATAGTTCATAATTGTTTGTTATAGAAGGTTTTATCAAAAGATGATTTATAAGAGGCCTTACAGAAATCAGAGTAGTAACACAGAAGAATGTTAACATACACCTATGTAGTGCATGTTAACTCAGATACAATTAGGACAAGCTATTGTTTAGAGCAGTGCAAACACTTTAGACCTTAAGCAACAAAGAATATAGGCTAAATAACAATGATATAGGAAAATGAGAGCTTCAGAAAAAAATAGCACAATGAGGGTGGCCTGGCATCATTTAATTCATTCATTAGGGTGGCCCAGTATCAGAGCTTCAGAAAAAAAACAGCACAATGAGGGTGGCCTGGCATCATTTAAGTTTACATTTAATTCATTCATTAGGGTGGCCCAGTATCATTTAAGCCTACATTTCATTCATTCATTCTGACAATCTTTAATTACATGATCAAAATTTTCCTGTAAGATCTTGTCAGGTCTTTCATTGCCAAGAGTGCAGACTAGTCACCCAGTAAAATATCTGTGCTGGGTCAGACCACAGGTCCATTTAACCCAGGTTTCCTAGTCTGGCAGACACCAGACAGACTGCTGACAGAACAAAGTAATACCACACATGATAGACATCTCCCTAATACTCACCCTGCCTCCAAGCATTTGAAACTCAAGAGACCGAATGAGAAGCCATTCAGTACTTTCCCCCTCACCCCCATGTTATTACTTCATTCAAGAGACACTATTCATACCTTAATGTAAATACATGAATACTTCTCATTAGTTCACTTAACTGCAGTTCATTTACTGTCAGATGAGTGCCTCAAATACTACAAGGAGGTAACAGCATCTCCATTTTACAAACCAAGAATAAGGCAAAGATATATTAGGGGATTGCTTTATTTCCTCACTTAAGGCATATCGCATCAGGTAGTTCTGAATTTAACACTAGGTGGCATGTTCATTAAACATCAAACTCTCAGCAACCTCAATTCCATATACAAGTATCCAAAAGTCCTAGAAAGAGCCCAGGGTCTCCACTGAGAGGCCCAAATAATGGAAAATTTTGGATTATTGACTATTGTGAAATTGTCAGGCCCAAGTCTTAAAAGTACTGCTTAAACTGTATGTTCTCCTCCTGAAGTGACCAACTTTAGTAATTGCTGCACTGGTTCAGAATATTCCAACAAAGCTTTTCCTCCAAATCAGCATGTGTCAAACTGACAAGAAGACAAACACAACTTTCTACACAAAATTCTGCACCCCATCCTACAAAAACCACTTCCAATAAGCAAGAGAGAAGACACTCTTCCCAGGTTAAAGTTCGGCAGGATCTGAAGCAGCTGATTAAAAAAAACCACAAAACAACAGTAGCACCAAATAACACTACAATTTGTTTCTTTAGATATTAAAGTGCCTTTTACCTCTAAATGTCTCATTTAGAAGCAACGGAATACTTTTTTTTTAAAATTAGCTTAAGGAAAATAATTTGTATGGAAAAGCTCACCATAATTCTCAAATTTTGTCAAAGTTAAAGGAACTAAAAAAGAAGAATACTGAGAAATTTTATTAATTGATGCTTCCAAACCTACTTAAAATTTGACAAGAATATTGTTGTTATCTTAAATTTCACTGTTAGCTTGTTACTGCTTTAACCACATACTAATAGTTTTCCCACTTTCCCAATACAGTTCCCCAGAAACTCTACCTGAGCGTTTGAACCCAGCTTTTCAGATTTATGCATGGAGCAATATCTTCATACTTCAACAGGGACTGAACATCAAATCGTACGATGCCTTCTGAAGCATGCTAAAGAAAGAGTAACAATTACACTTCTGTGCACTTACAACATCAGATGAGGACCATCTGATATGTCCCTCAAAAATACAACGCAAGCTGTATTTATCTATACTCTAATTGAAAGCATCACAAAACTTATCTGTTTTACAACATACCTGTTTTAAAACTTATCTGTTCTATTTATATTCCCTCCCCCTTAAATTAAGTACTTTGTACAGAAGTGTACAAGTCATAGTTCGAGCAGGGCTGGGTTTTGTTTGTGTGTTTGAGACTATTTCCTTTGAATATGTAATTCAATAAATACAAGTATTCATCTAGAATCTTCAAACAAGTATTTTATGGTGCTTCTGCTTAGGATTATTATTACAGAATAGTTTAACTTTGCAAAAAAGAAACAATATTACATACACAGGCTAGTGATGGGCAAAATAATTTGAAAACCTTTTTTCCAGCAGTATCCCATGACAAAGCCACCAGTATATCAGCACTACTAAAATGTTTTTATGGAAGTTACAGGTGCTCAAGAAGGAAGGGCAAAACTGTATTCTCTCATTTTTTAATTCTCCATTATTCAGTTGATGTAATCTTGCCGGGGTTGGGGGAGCTGCTGTGCAAACCACCAGCTCCTTTTCCTGCTCTACTAGTTCAAGACCTTAGCACACTGCATCCACTATTTTTTCCCCAGTTTATTCAGCTGTTAGAGCCTGAATACACCCAAATTCACCCATAAGACAGTTATGATTTGCTCTGGTTCTTAGCTGAAAAAAAAAAAAAAAAAGGAGGAGACAGGATAAATTAGCATGGTGCTGCTTCATGCAGGTATTGTCATCTCAGCTCTCAAAGAGAACCTGCTCCTGAGGGAGGCAAAGCCAAGCCAGGTTGCACAGCACAGCAATGAACACAGGAGCAACACAAAGTACCGTAAATATTATGATAGTAATGTTTTTAGCAACTTTTTCAATCCTTTAGTATCATATAGCCTTAGGAATCACAACACTGCCTATCCACTGCACCTTCAACTGCCCTAAACGATGAATCTCAAGCCAACTGGCACATCTCAATAAAACACTGAACAGAAAATAAATTGTAATCACATTTTATTCTGAAACTGGCATTCAGAGTATTATCTTTTAGGAATGGTAGTCTACGTATTCAAGCCCTAGATCTGTGGTCCCAGCAAAGTTTATTCATACAAACACTTGCTAGTGTAAGTATAGTTACAATTTCAGCTTTTTAGTATGTCCTTTCTATTGGTGTTGGGGATTTTTTCCTTCCTATTCCCCCCCCCTATTGATTTACAATAAAAAGGATTGAAAAAAATATGAATAATGGTAATGGGCATTTCTGTGGGACTGAACTCCTATTTACCTGTTCTTAAGAGAAAACATGAACATTTCATGTATAAAGATACTTCTAGTCTTTCTAAATACAGGCAAAAATGAAGAAAAGCTTTTTATTCTGAGATACCACAGGACTTCAGATTAATTCAAAATAAACACTCTGAAAAACTTACCATGTTTAGCTGAGGAGTGGCACAAAGTACACCATGGAAAGAAATTGTGTAATTAATGCTAACATCGCTAAGGCTTGCCCACCACCGAGCAACACAGAATTCAATGGTTCTTCCAGCCTGGGTAACAAAAGCACAAAGTTAGACTCAAGCTCTCATCTTCCCCTTCTATTCACCCCAGCCTCCCTCATCCCAAGCGAAAGAAGTTGGAGTATAGCTCAAAAAAACACCCTGTTATGTCCAGTTTACTCCAGTTGTATAGGTTTGTACAGTACTAAATCAGACATTACACTTGGTCCAGAAAACACAAGACAGTGCCAACAAAATAGGATGACTGATGACCACATCAAAACAAAGAGTGCCAGGGGTATACCCTCAGAAAAAAGGTACAGCTTTTAAATGCTACATCCTCCTTTCCTATTCTTCAAACTAGACAGATAGGTTAAGTTCATAGATGAGTTTAATAGGTGTGCCCTAGAAAATGTGTATCAGAAAAAAAGAGATCCCATTCTCTGCCTAAATCAGATGGCATGAAGCCTGGAAGGTTTGGGGGTTTTTTTCTGTTGTTGTTTTTTCTTGTTTTTTTAACTAACATGACAAAATTCACAACATGTCAGTGGGATAAACTTAGCTTAGGGTCCCCCACCTGACATTCGCAGAGGGTAAGGGAATGAATAGCACAGAAATCAGAATCGCTCTTAGGCTTTAGAGCTATACAACTAAATTAAGCAAGGTAGGGGACAAACTCGAGAAGTGAACTCTATCATTCACACCCCTGAACTGTTGCCTCACTCCCTGGTTCTCTTGACTCTTGAGCTAGCATTATTCAAGCTAAGCCTGCTGTCTCTAAGCAGTATGAATGTAAGCCAGTCACTTATCACCTGGCTTCAACATCAAGGAGACATCCCAGATTACCACATTAAGCACTAAAGTCAAAATGTGCTGAATTCCATTTATCCAACAAGTCATAGCCCCTATTTGAAAGGGAAACAAATTGGTCTGTATAAACAAGTACCAACAAATTGAAAAGATTAACATGTATTATAAGGGCATCATCAAATAATTAAGAAACACTAACAAGCTATTACAGATAATTTCAAAACCGAAAACCAGATGCATTCACTACTGCAACAAACATAGGATTTCTTGGGTTTGAGAAAAAAAAAATCCAGAATGACTGATGTTATACTGCACTGATACATTACTTTCTCCCTCCACCCTAAGGTGACTTACTAAGACAGGAAACGCTTCAGTCACCGATCCTTTTTCTGGTAAGGATGAAAATTTGTAGAACTCGTGACTTCTGTATGCTTTTTGTTTCACTAGCTGAACAGCATGAAGCACAAACTTTGCAGTCACATCAGCTGAACATGAACACACTGTCACTTCTAGATTAAAGAAAAAAAAATCAAGTTTAGTTTCAAGAGCCAAGAACTTTAGAAGGAAAGCAAAGATTCACCAGAAAAAACACTAGTTTCACAAGTAATTTGTCAATTAGGAAATTAGGAAATTATGCAGTACCCCACACCTCTCCATATGTGAAAAATGCTTATATATCAGTTATTTACAAAGACCCTTTCAGATTAAGGAAAACTAGTGAAGTTCAGGTATTATGAGTTAAGAGAAACATGACAACTAAATGGTGAAAATCAATCAGATAGTATAGATGTATAATCTGTACAGAACAGACTGCTGCTGAATTCCAAATTAAGAGTCTTATCAGTAACATCAGTCTAAATGAAAGATTCTTGAAAGGATTAGTAGTTAGTAGTCTCCCACAGGAAGACACGGGAAAAAAAATTACTTTTTCCTCCCTGCAGAATTATGAGCTACTTGCCCATTATGAAAATCACTTCTTCAGTTAAAACATCTTTCAAAACTACATCCGTACACCTTAAAAACTAGGCAAGCCTCAGACAGTAATACTTTTCTACAAACATGGGGTATTGCTCCAGTTATGGGTAATCACTTCAGATTGCATTTGCTGGTTTCCAGAAGACTGAGAATCAGGATTCTACTATACCAGAAACTCAAAAATCACTCCTCTATGAACTAAAAATCAAATAAATATTTTACGTATTCATGGGTCAAATCCTTCAGTTCTTATTCAGGCAGAACTCAAAATTATTTCAAAACAACTTTGTCATGCCTGACAGATGTGATTTTTTTTATTTAATTAATGTGGTAATTTTCTTTACCAGCCCATGTAGCTCCCTGTGGAACATCAATGAAATGCCTTCGGATTTGACCAGGTTTAAAATGAACATCTGTATATGTCAGGTCATAACTCGATGATTCATCTACTCTGTATGTTGAAAAGAAAACACAAACAGTAATTAGACAAGCTGTGAATTTTTCCCATACTAGTACAGAATTCGACAGCACAACATATCTAAAAGATTTAAAATATCAGTTCCACCACATTATGTAGACACCCTCCCCCACCTCCCTGAAGTTACTAGGCTTAAGTGTAAATATCAAAGAATCCTAGTTTTCAGTGGATCTGCTTTTCCTTGCTGAGTGACTTTCCACTAAAGTGAGCTAAGGTATGTAAGAAATAGTATTTCCATGAATGAGTTAGAGAAAGTTACTTTTTTTTTTTCCCCCTCAGGGCACATTGTCCACTGAATAGGTTTAATAGGATACTCTCCTTCCTTAACATCACTGAAGTCATATGTTTAAACCAATGATGGGCACAATACTAACTCTCTAAATTCAGTGTGTTACAGCCATGATGGAAGCTTATGCCAATGTTCACCTGCCAAATAAAGTCCACCAGTTAGAAGTGAAAAAAAAAACCACCAAAAAAACAACAACAGTCTCCAGATGACCTACACCTATGAGCATATTGATTAATACTTGGGTCAACAAGCCAGAAATCATCTGTATCCTGATGGACCAGGAAGCTGCTGCCACTGTGGCTAAGCCCACCAGAACACACTGCCTTCTCGCTGCCAGGACCAAAACTACAAAAAAGCCAAGGCTCTGTAAGTCAGCCTGCTGCAAGAATCTTTTCAGATTTCTGCTCCCTTATCAATGTTGGTAGTAAGTTCAAGAACTCCCAGAGAAAGAAGGTGGTGAAATAAATAACAACAAATAGAGCGGGTACAGAAAACTAAACTAAACTTAAAAAAAGCAGATAAAGTCTGGTTTTACTGACCTTGTTGGTATAACAACAGTTATGGGAACTCTGAAGAGAGGGCCTGCATTAGGCATTGCTATATCATATCCACACACCTAACAAAATAAAACACAGTCACTTAAAATCTTTGGTCAAAATGAAATTATAGAAGACAACATTAAACTTAATCTAGAGTATTGCAGAGTACTTTGAATCTCTGTAGTTATCACTAAGAAAAAAAAAATAATCTTCATTCGACAACTGTCACCCTAGAAACAGTAAAGCAGCAACATTCAGTAAGAAAAAAAAAATTAGTTTTCACACTTATTTCAGTCTTTCCCCAGAAGTTTTCAAGCTTTCAACCCACATTTGATAGTCCCTATAGCGAAAGCTCAAATATAGTTTCAACTCAGAATTTGTGCCAAACAGTCTTATTATTTTATACCAGCTATTTTTTTGTTGTATTAAAAATATTTTAATCCTGGTTTTCCAGGATTATGTGAGAAAACACAGTTTGATTTACCATGCCTTTCATGGTCAAGCTTTAAATACTATCTCTGAAAATTTGTGATATTATCTTAATTATGATCAACTACAATGCAATGGAAACATTTCAATGTTAATATAATGGTTGGGATGAGGAAATATTTTTGTTCGTGGGTTTCCATTGCAGGAGTGAAAGAGGATGTTTGAGAGAGAAAATGAGAAATTTAATGGCTTTCACATTAGATTTGTTCAAATTTGAATGTAGCTGCTCCTTAAGTCAGCAAAATGCTTCTGCTATACACAGCCACTACCACACATTTTTCTCCTTCACCTTTGAAAATGGGACAGGGTAGAGATGAGGAAACAAGAAAATAGGTTGCATCACTACCCAAGCAACTCCTCCAGGTGAAGCAAAATCTTGGGTTCATATAAGACTGCATGGCAACACCACAAAAGCTAGGCCAGTCCTTAAGCCACCACAGAAAGAAAGAAATATTTAAGACATCATAAAATGATGAAAAAAACACCTTATTGAATTACTATTTATTTGGTTTATTTTTTTTATGCTTTTATTTTTTAAACACAGATACTCAAAGTCCCATTGGTATGTGCTATTGTATAGCATTAACTATTGCTGAACCCTGGATTCAGCCTGTATAGTAAAACAGAGTGCGGCTATATTTTCTGGTCTGCACAGAACATAGCTTTTATTTCTTTAAAAATTATTTATATAAAAAGTTGATAGAGACCACACGAAAAGGAAAGGGCACACAATCTTCCTCAGAACACCAATATTTCAGTACCTCTGTATAATGTAGTCCTTCTCGCAGGCCACGTGGATCCACACGAATATTTATGTGTCGACACTGGTTCATAAGCTCTAAATGACTAGGACACTGGACCCACGGTGCATTTGAAGTTAAAGCTAAATGAAGCTGGAGAGATATTCTTTCAGTGTTTTCTGTCAAGAAATAAATTAAAAAACCCAGTTCAATAACACAAATATGTGCTCATATTCTACTATAATGCAGTATTTGCCATTAAGAGGTACACATCAATAAAATGTAATAGGAAACAATTCCTTAGGGCAGATACTCTACTTTAGACAGTGTTCTATATTATTTCTTTTAACTTGAGAAAAATAGAATAGCAGCAGCGTACAGTAAAATAAAGGTTGTACCCAACTTTGAAGTTCTCCCCCCTGAAACAGTCAAACCTGACACAGTCAAAGGTAGGCTAGTAAGCAATGTTTCAGTTACCCACATCATAGTCTGGAAGCAGGTATAAACTTTCTTCTACAGATACAAAGTCTTCCCTAATGCAGAGAAATACAATAAAAAGCAATTGCACTGATTCTGAGGGTTATGCTAATTACCAAATTACATTATAAAGCAGTCTAAGCAAGAGGTAAAGCCTATTAAAAAATTACCATGATAATCTAGTCTGACTTTGCAAACAGTCAATTAAGTTAATTTTGCAAATTAGCTTCCATGTCAAAAAAGCTATGGGTTGAAGCACTGCTTCCAGAAGAGAATCGAACCCTAGTTAAAATGTTTTAGTGATAAAAAAAAATTAAATCAGCTTTTTCCTGCTCTAAAGATTAATGACACTTTGAAAAAAAAAAAGTCCACGTTTTCTAGGCCTAATTAATTAACTACAGCTTAATTTTCAGACATTTCTTTACATCTTTGTTAAGTAAAGAGCAGTCTATTATCAGATGTGATTCCCTCATAGGTACATGAGAAGCAATAAAAGCTCAAAGAGAACTTCAACAGACTGAGCAGATCAGACTCCCTTAACCTCTTATTGAAGTTTCTCAAAAATTCAGTCTTATTGAAGACACCAGACACAGCACAGAAATAACAACTGGACAGGTACTAGAGAAACAGTACCATGCTACAAGCCAGTCATCAATTACAAATGTCTGTTTTCAGATTGTTTGCTTCCTGTAGAAGAGCCTATCATACAATTATTTTATTTCTCAGTGTCATACAGTAAATTTAAAAAGCACCAATTGCGCTGTAACCTGTCAAACAACTAAGTTACTTTGAGTCAGTAATCTGCTCTAATTCATAACCTTTCTTCCCCTAAACAAATTCATCCCTTTGTCACATGACAATCTTCTTGGGGATCACTGGTTTTAGGAAAGGAATTAGTAACAAGCTCTTACATGGATCATTTTTTGAATACAATGTAATGCAGTCTCTCAGTGAGTTTCAATTTGTATTTAATAAAGCAGGGCAAAACAGTTTATGGAGAAAAGATGTCAACCTTATTTTGACATGCATAACTTATTTTTACCCTGTTAATAAGTAACTAAGATCTGTATCAATTCCTGTATTGCCTTTAAATATATTTATGTTTATCCATTATTAGCTACTGAATGTAAGTCTAGTCTGTTAAACTAAGATTTTTCTCAGGTTGTGGAAACATATAAAGTCCAAATCTAGAATCTGTAGTATTTAAATAACTGAGAAACTAATTTCTGTGTAAGTTCTTTCATGTTTAGAACAGTAATCATTCTTTGTCAAGAAACAAAGAAACCCTATCTACAACAAAACCCTGAAGTTCTACAATTTCATGAAACATTAGGGACATTCGATTATTTTTCCATATTTTTCCCTAGCCCCACAACTTTGCTTTAAGTATCTTCAGAATAAAGAGAGAACCCTTTTTTCAGTGAGAGGAAGCATGAAGCAACAGACTCCTCCAAAACATGGAAGTGCTGAAGTTATAAGCCTGAGGTTAGAACAAAAAAGTTGTTTAGCTGCATGCATTCATTTACCATGAAATTTAGACTTGCACTTACTGCTTGTACAGTACAGATTCCCATCACTGCTCATTATCATGCTTTTTGTTTAAAGTTTACACTTTATTTCCCCCACATACATACACACAAAAGTTCTTTCCTACCTGTATTCTCAGGAAAGACAGGTTCTATGCCAACCCCATGATCAGAAGGTGCAGCTATCTGGGCAGGATCTCTGAGGTAGATTCCACGGTTGCTGCCAACAGTAACCGTAAAGCCTATGTTACTTGCAAATGATGAATTCTGAATGAGGTAGTCATAGGCTTTATCAACCTGTTAGAAAGAAGACAATCTAAATTTTAAAAATTCAACTTAATAGTAATCTATGCATATTACCTTCAATATGAAGTGTTCAGCAAGCACAGCAACAAAGTAGCTCACTGATTGTATCTTACATGATACTCGGTATAGAAAACAAGGCAACATTTTCAGCCTGCAATAGCCACAGCACAGAAAATCAAGAATATTAAAAAAAGACAAAGCTCCTTTGTTATAAATCCATCAAAAAATGCATAACAAAAGTTTTCAGAGGCCCAGACCTATTATACTAATTTAGGTGTACTTCTCGTATACGGAGCAACACTAAGCATTTAAACCTTATATATAAGAAGTCGAGTGGTTCAAGAGAGACAAGAAATATGGGATGCCCCTAAGTTTTATATATTGATATGAAATAAGAGAATCAGGTCATGAAATCCAGCCCTAAGTAAGTAAATGAGCTGTCACAGTAAACTCAGATGACAAGTTCACCTCTTTCTTTTAAAAAGATACCCTTCTATCTCGCTTTCTATTCTGACTCAAAACCAAATAATCTTACCTTCTCTTCTACTTCACAGTGAGCTACCTTCACCAGTGGGCATTAGGGCACTCTCCTTTGAAAGTAGGCACACAACAGCCTCGGTCTCCCAGATCAGAGTTTTAACTGCATGTTTTAATACATGCTTTAATCAGACTACTGCATTTCATTTTTCTGTGACAAAGTTTATTTGATATGGATACCATCACTGTTGCCTTCTGTATCAAACTCAGTGTTATAGATCTGCTTAGCAGATGTTACCTACTAGGTTCTAGCATCTCCAGAACATGAGTTTAAGGCTAAGCATTTAATATCTAGCATTTTTAAGCAGCAGAGCAAAATCTCACTACCTCTATTTGGCTAGGATGGGAGTAACCGTAGGCAAAAACCAGCAGCAGCTCTTTAAGAACCTACGCTTATGCGTAGGGAGATTGTCACTCCCTATGCCTTCTTCATACAAAGGACCACATCACAGATATACAAGCTACTTAGAAGTCCAGAGGATACAATGAACACTCAGACTTCTCAGTGCAGGCCCAGAGCAAAGTCATCGCACAACTGTAGCTGTACTGCTTTGTGAACCAGCGTGGGTATTCCTGGATTTTCACTGCCCAAAACTTACAGTTCCAGCTTTTGTCTGCACAGAACAAGTTCAGCTCTGACAACAGCATAAAAACATTTTTGGACATTAGTACAGAATTTAGGCATCCAAACCCACACATGGGTGGCACATCCCACTTTTATGTCCACATACCTTTTTGATCAGTCTAACAATGTGTCTAGTTAACATTTATTCTACATATTTATTCTACAGTAACCGCATGTTGAAACTGAAAGAACCGTCTCATACCTCCTCCCTTCCCACTACATCCTCCTTTTCTCCCTCCATCAGATCTGAGAGTCAAGTAGCCTGGGAGCAAACTGAGTGAGCTCGTCTAGAAAGTTGCTCTTTTTGTGGGTTAGTTTTCCACTGGCAGTTTTTTATATTATGTTGGGTTTTCTGCTAGCAAGTACCTGAATAATACCATGTCCTTGTGCAAATACTTCTATGTTTTCAGCTTTCACTGCAGTATTTTCTAATGCTCTTCTGACAGAATGAACAGTGTAATGAATATCATTAGCTTTGAGTCCTGAAATAAAAAATAATAGTATTATTGGATACAACAAAATTTTTGAAAGTTGCAGCATAATTTTTTTAGAGGAAAAAGTATCTAATTTGTTTTAGACTACACATCTATATTTAACATTGTAGCATATTACCTGACAATACTAATGCAATGCCTCCACATGCATTGGGAGAAGACATGGATGTGCCGTTCATGAGTTGTGTTCCTCGCAGAGTCCAGTTTGGAACGGAAGCGATAGCACCTCCTGGGGCACTGATACTTACTCCAAGGGCTCCATCAGTGCTAGTGGTAAAACAGAATAGTTGAAAAATAAACATTTTTTTTCTGCACACTTTATCTTGAAGTTACCCATGCACTTAAAAAAAAAATAAATATAATTTTAGCTTTAGGGAGTATATTACTTCACTAAATCCATTAACCCATTAAACACAAGAAAAGGCATGCTGCTAAGTAGCAATTTAAAATGTCACATGAATCATCAGCTATGCTTGTTTTACAGTGAAAGTTTTCTACACTTTCATTCCTTCAATACTCTTCACCAGGCTTCAGCTTAGTCAGCAGAATATCTTCTGGGATTTGAATTAGAAAATGCATGCAAACAAACCTATTAAACATTTCAATACATAAATTAGTATTCTACACAGCTTATTTAACAGTTATTATTTTAAAAGAAAAATAATAAAAGGGAGAGGAAGACTAGAAAAGATCCAAAATCCAGATCTCTAATTTTGCATGTTGGCACTTCACCTCCAGGTCAAATTCTGAATTACAATACAGAACCTGAGACAAGGAGAACAAGGGGAGAAGACAAAAAAAAGGAATGTCAACAAGTGGATCAGGATCACCTGGGCCTAAGGCACCTTTCTTTCTTGCCCAAGCATATTTAAGAATGGAGTGAGTACCTATGGCTCAGTTAAAGCAGCATCTAGTTTTCAACTGTATGAGCCAGATATGCGCCATCTTCCTTGCTCTGCGTAGACAAAAATTGCACCACTTGAATAAGCACAGCACTGTGCCTGAGCTATTAAGTTCTGTGGGAGGTAGGGTATTTTAGGGTATTTATGAAGCTGTTAGCGTGAGATATATGTCTCAAAACAGAGTGCTCTCAGTATGATATATTAACGTAACATTTGAATATATTTTACGACAGCCCTATATAAACAACAGGTTCTATATCATGGCACTTCTGGCCAAGCAGTGCATGGCACATCTGTCTGAAAGCCTCTACTGCTTTCTCAGACGGACTGATCCTCTACCCCAAGCCTGCTCTAGCAAAGCTTTAGGAACTCTCTGGTCACCTGCGTGTTGCACCCTACACAAGGGGCATCCTCCTTTGGCCAGACTTGGGCCTTTCAGCTGACACATGCTCATTCTGACTATTTTACAATGCAAAGTGACAAAGCACACAAAACGTAGTCTTTATATATGTGTGTGTATGTATATTGATACTAATTACAAATCTGTCTCCCTTTCTCAGCTGAAGGCAGAGACCACATTTCTCTCATCTCTACATGAAACATGACAATTCTACATAATAAGGTTCTTGGAACCATATGCTTGCCTGTAAATATACGAACACCATGACAGCTGACTTTAAAGACCAATGCTAATAGGGAAGCATTTGCTATGTAGCCAGCAAATAAACCAAGGACCAACCTCAAGCTATGTTTTTTATTTTTCCCCTCACCCAATACTATTGTAGGCTAAACTACAAAAGACAGTACATGGTAACTCCACGACCCGCAAGAGCAAGTCCAAATTCTAAACACAGGCAAAAACTCAGGAAGAGACGCTATTTTTTTTTTTTTTGCTATCACATTACTATCAAATGCTTCTGAGGCATGAAATAAAAATTCAAGTTTTCATTGCCCCTAAATTTTCATTTATAGATCTTTGAGATAATTTTCTATAACGTGAGGTAGAAAAGCATTTTTTTCTGCCTACTCACACCTCTACTGGACTCAAGCAAAACCCTCAAGTAAGTTGTGCCATCACAGCAAGGTCACTGAAGCCAGAAGTAACACTGCTGCAGTAACAGTATTTCTTTTCATCTTCAACACTGACAGAACAGGTAACTTCACCACACTAACTTAATGAAATAAATGCTATGGAAAAAAATCCTCTGAAAAAATAAATTTCAGAAAACGAACAGATTTCCAAGCAATTTTTCAACAAGTTTTATCACCTCTAAACAGGTATGCACTCATCAAATATACTTTCCTGAAACGTACAGGTTGTGCTGAGGCAGTTCAGTGGCCTTACCCCTCCTCCACAAGTTCTAGAGCCTGACATACAAAGGCCCTCCAAGAACAGCAGGTTACCTTCGCTCTTCCCATGGGAAACAAATACTTTTATCCTGGTATTAATGACCAATTTTTAGATTTTGGATTACATAATCTGAACCCCAAAATAATGAATTTGTTCTTTTAGTATAACCTACCTAGGCCCTCTGGATGACCAAGTGTATTGATTTGCTGGCAGTTTTTCTCTTAAAGAGTATTCAGCAACCATCATGTCAGGTGATACATAGGCACCAACACCTGTAAAAAAAACATTCCAGCACTTTAGATGTACAATTAATTTTTATCAGAAGCAAAATTAAAATATTTCTGTATTTTAAATTCACAATGAGAAGAATTTTTGCTTGACATTTGAAAATGGAAACACCTATTTTCCATTCTACTAAATCCATATACTTTTACAAAGCAAGTGTAAAGCAGCATGCTATGCAGTAACAATGCTGATGGTCACACTGTATAACATTAAAATATTATGTAAACTTCAAAGTTTCATTTTTATTCAACTGGAATAGAATGTATTCACATTCTACATTTCTTTCACAATACATCCCTTTTATGTCTCTACTCTCTCCCACACCCCTTTGGCTGTGTTTACACTGTTACAAACTAACAACCATACCTCAAAGCAATTTATGTGAATTGTTTCATGTTCTCATGGCTCACAGCTATACCACCTGGAGCAGGTGGCCACATCCACACAGCTCAAACACAGTGATAAGACAGCCATTTACTTTCCTGTATATCAGTTCAAAGTGCCCAGAGCATGTAAACGACTACATCACAGCCTGAAGTTGTATTTTTGGAACACAATGTCAAAGATGCACATTACATCCATGCTGTGTACATGTTCTGAAGTGTACATTCCATTTTCTTTATGGCACAAGCACTGTCAGGATGGTAGAAAACTACCATACCAAGCTGACAAACAAATTTGGCAAGGTCCATGTCCATACTGTCTTTATGAACTACATCAGTCTGTCAACTGTATTTTGCTTTAACCTCAAAAACAACAACAAAAAACCCCTATCCGTTTCAATCCAGATGAAGGACAAGGAGCAAGCTACTTTGCATGCAGAGTGAATGATCACCCAGTCTCTAGAGTGATACAACCAGTAAGTTGAATTGACAGAATAGATGTACTGTAAGAGCAAAGCCAATGCAGGCTTGAAAAGAGCTTGTTAGTTCCAGTTACAACCCTCAATCTCAGTAGTGGAGTAACTGCAGATTAGCTTTCAGAAAGTAATCAGCGTTAATTCTACTGTGAAACAGTCTCTCTCAAGCTTTCACATCTACATGCTAGTGCCCTTGCATGAGAATTCTGTGATTTAACAAGTATTTGTATAATGCCACAGTAATGTGGCATCAGAGGATTTCTATAAAAAGTAAGACTAGGGAAGTTACCCCTCCGAATGCCAGACATTTCGCAATGTCTTATACCTCAAGTTTTCACTGAAAGATCAAAGACATACACTAGCCCATCAGAAAAGTCAAATGTTATGCCAGTCATACTTTCACAGAAGCGACACTACAACTGAAAGAATCCTTCCCCTAGAAGGACTTGTCTAGGGCACATCATGGGATTATTTTACATCCAAATTACAAAGGCATTTTCATTACAAATGGAAATCAAAGTATACAATAAAGACGGATAATTTAAAACTATTGTTCTGACAATTAGAATGCATTACAAGACTTTCCAGAAGATTAATTAGAATCCAGCTTGCTTATATTTTTTACAAGTTGCATTTACTAGCAACTAACAGTCCGAGTGAAGTGGTATGCTCAGATGGTTACAGTTAAAAAAAATAATCTTGGAAACTTCAAATAGGTCAGACCACAAAGATTTCTTTTGCAAATTTTATACAAAGCCACATCAAACCAAGACCATCTGCCTCCTACCTCTCTTTTGTACATAAGTAAGATCTTGAATTGTAAGAAGATAACAGTCTAAGTTTTTACACCTAAGCATACAGCTAGTTCCTCCCTCAGAATTAATTTCGTAGCCCAGTAGCCTTCAATATTTTTTTAGATGTAGTTCAGCCATCAACCGGTGATCTCAAACATGTAACACAAGTACAAAGCTTGAAAAGACAGAAGCTGGACACTGTCAACATTTTTTTTTTCCCAAAACAAATTATTTACCTATTACACTAGATGTAGTTCCACCAGGACATCCTACTGTAGAAAGGCAGGGGCCATTATTCCCTGCACTTGAAACATAGATTACGTTGTGTTTCCACACTGCTTCGTTAATTACTTCACAAATTCTCCTGATGTGAGAGACAAAAAAAAAAAAAAAAAAAAAAAAGGAATGGAGTCATTTAATCAACAAAATTGCTTTCTTCCCACAGGGCAAAACTCCCATTTCTAGTAGAATCTCTGTGACTAGTCACAGAACAAGGAATGTTATGCAGACTGCTTCCCACACCTAGCAGAGGCGGTTCCGGTACAGAAGCTGACCACAAAAAAATACCTTCTAGTTTTAAGAAGGACTAACAGTCATGTAGCAGTATCAGGTCTTCAAAAAAACCCACAAATTATGTGGTGTTCCATCTACAGAATTCCTTTATTATTCTAAAATATTCTTTGCATTATAAATCAATAGCACTTTCAATAGGTTTACTTAACTTTAGGAGATGGTTAAAAGTGTAAATTGCAACAGTTTAATGTATATGAATCATCTGGGCCTGCACAATTCTTTCTTACTGACAGTACATTTACAGAAATGTAATTCCACTTCTGTGATATCAAAATACTTTATATTAACCACAGCAGTACTCACCCAGAATTTGGCCAGTGTGTTGCCTCTCCATAGCTGTAGTTGACAAGATCACATTTGTATTTTATTGCTTCTATCATCTGATAAAGTAAAAATAAAAGCCAAAATACATACTAGTCATACAATAAGTCACTTAAGGAATGGCAAAAAACCATTTGCTTACACGGATCTGCTGCAGATCTAAGGAAAAGGGATAAATTTATTTCGAAAATATAATATAATTTTCTATTTTCAGTTCCTTTTCTTGTGTAATTTTTTTCCCCCTTCAACGACAACATGGAAAAGGCCTTGGGCCCTTCATCATTAAATAGGAATATTTTCTCCTCACTCTTAAAAAAACCAGAGTTAAACCAAATTCAGCCACACAGGTAGATACTAGTCTCTATTCTAGATTTAAGTACTCTATAGTTATCTAAGTAACTAGAAAAAAATACAACACAGAAAAAGGAACTTTAAGTAAGCATAGAAGTAAATTAGCCCATGTGTTAAACTAGCCAGACACACTGCAAGTCTATCTGTCTGAAAAACCCTGCAAGTGCTCAATGCAACAGAAGTCTCGTTTTATACTAAAACATTAGTCTTAAGATATGTTTTAAAATATATTCTGGTTGGTTTTATGATTCTTTTGGTTGGGTTATTTTTGTTTGCTTTAGATTTTTTTGGGGGGTGTTCAGTGTTTTTTTTATTTAGTTGGAAATATTCTAGAACCATAAAAACATGGCCTATAAGCGAGTAGAGCAGAAAGTATTCCACAATATTCTACAATTAAGTCACACTGCTGATATCAATTGTTTATTCAATGAAATACCCACAGCTCTTATTAGACCAGTGCCAGTTTCCATTGTACTTAGTCTTGTATCACCAATCTTGATTGCAAGAATCTGAGCTCCAGGAGCCACACCATTTCGTTCTGGTTCTTCTGGAAAGTATCCAGCTGCAATACTAGCCACATGTGTTCCATGAGCTCCTGAGCAAATGAAAAGTTGTATCACTGTAGGTATAGTGAACTTCATGTATACCAATTTAATACACTGCAGTTCAATTAATTTTCACTTAGTGAGCTGTAAGTACATAAATCCAGTCAGTGGCTGGTCACAAGTGGTGTTCCCCAGGGCTCAGTACTGGGGCCAGTTCTCTTTAATATCTTTATCAATGATCTGGATGAGGGGATGGAGTGCATCCTCAGCAAGTCTGCAGATGACACCAAGTTGGGCAGGAATGTTGATCTGCTTGAGAGTAAGAAAGCTCTGCAGAGGGATCTGGACAGGCTGGATCAATGGGCCGAGGTCAACTGCATGAGGTTCAACAAGGCTCAGTGCTGGGTCCTGCACTTGGGTCACAACAACCCCACACAACGCTACAGACTTGGGGCAGAGTGGCTGGAAAGCTGCCTGGCAGAAAATGACCTGGGGGTGGCTGGTCGACAGCCAGCTGACTATGAGCCAGCAGTGTGCTCAGGTGGCCAAGGCAGCAAACAGCATCCTGGGCTTGTATCAGAAATAGAGTGGCCAGCAGGACAAGGGAAGTGATCGTCCCCCTGTACTCGGCACTGGTGAGGCCACACTTGGAGTACTGTGTGGCCCCTCACTACAAGAAGGCCATTGAGGTGCTGGAGCGTGTCCACAGAAGGCAATGAAGCTGGGGAAGGGTCTAGAGCACAAGTCTTATGAGGAGCCACTGAGGGAACTGGAGCTGGTTAGTCTGGAGAAAAGGAGGCTGAGGGGAGACCTTATTGCTCTCTACAAATACCTGAAAGGGGTTGTAGCCAGGTGGGGGTCAGTCTCTTCTCCCAAGTAACATGCAATAGGACAAGAAGAAGTGGCCTGAAGTTGCACCAGGGGGGGTTTAGATTGGATATTAGGAAAAGTTTCTTCACCAAAAGGGTTATCAAGCATTGGAACAGGCTGCCCAGGGAAATGGTTGAGTCACCACCCCTGGAGGGATTTTTTAAAAGATGTGTAGATGTGGTGCTTAGGGACATGGTTTGGTGGTGGAGTTGGCAGTGCTAGGTTAACGGTTGGACTTGATCTTAAAGGTCTTTTCCAACCTAAATGATTCTGTGATTCTATAAAATCAGTTTATTTAATAAATGTCATATTAAAATAAGGAAAGAAAAAAGACAGTAAACAGCAGCAATCTGCAAAATAAAACTGCTTTTGAGGGGAGAAAGGAGGCAGCAGGCAAAGAGAAAGAAAATATTAACTTAATTCCACTAACAAAAGTTACTCAAAAAGGCTCAACGCTTCCTACTCGAAGTTACGAAAATTATACTTGAGATCACTTAGACAGTGGGGATTAAGAAAAAAATTAGAAATAAAAAACTGCACAGAAGTATAAAAAGGAGTCTCTCAAAAAAAGTTACCATTGATTTAGAAACCAGAACTACTTCTGTATTTCTACTGAGATGGGATAGTCTGACAAGAAATTAAGAGTATTTTTCAAATCAAATTTTCTTAAGATTACTTTCATTTACCTCCACTTGTCACAATGGAAAGAAGGTTCCCATCATCATATATGTTAACAGAGTAATTCAACATCTCAGATGTTCCAAAAGATCCATATTCCTGAGCCTCTTTGTAGGTTCTCAGCACTGTACAGCTAGTTAGGTCACCACTCTCGCTTGTATCTACGCATGCTCTGTTGACAAAAAACAAAAAGAGGGGCAATTTTCCAGCTGCTGTAAACTTTCAGTTATCCCCCCAACAAAGAGTACCACAAGGACTTCAAGAAGTCTGGTTCTGTGTTTATGGTATTTTACTTATTTAAGTCAGTATTTTTAAACCTGGCTGTTTAGACTCAGATTCAGAAACTACAAAGATCTCTAAATAAATCAATTTTCCAATGCTACTAAATTCAAGTAAATCTGTCTTTGAAAAGCAAGCACATGGAAATTCAAGCAATTTCTTCAAGGAAGAAATTTTCCTAAAGTTAGCTGTTCAATGCTGGTACACAAACATTTGAAGTCTTACCCACTGTTTTGTATGACACACATTATCAGCAAAGAAAAGTGCCATATTACATCCTGAAGTTTGTGAAAAGACTTCTGTTTTGGTTTGTTTTTTTCTCATCACCAATGGATACGCAAAGCAATTTTACTCTGCCTCAGAGGAAAATCCCACAAGCTTACACTTTAAGTCATGCTGTCTTTAATAAGACTTCATTCTATCCCATCTTCATTTGGGACCAGAACTTTGTCATGAAACTCAAGTGATACAGCAGGATTATTTTAAAGCAAATAAATACTTAAAACCTCTACAAAGAAGGCAGATTTAAAAGTTAACATAGTCTTCAATGCAAGCTGTTGTCTTATGTGCAGAACAAGACATTTTAGACAAATTTAGGCATTTACCTCCAGGTCTCACCGTCATTCCATACTAGACAATCATATACTGGGCCAGGATCACTATATTTTTTTTCAAAAGAATTCAACAGTTCCACTTGATTTTGAAGTTCTTCCTTTATTAGCTTATTTACCTAATAAGACAACAAAAATACAGTTAAAAGTATTTCTAAAATTATTACAAGACAGGTATTATTCCTTTCTGATGCTATACATTTGTTCCATTACTTCATCAAGAATGTAAGACTATCCTAGGAGTCACAAACATCTAGAAGTTCAAAGACTTTCAACAGTGCACTATTTGTTTTTGGCCTATCATGTACAACTATTTCAAATTTCTGTAATTCTAACATTTAAAGTCCTCTTTTCTTTTTTTTTTTTTTTTTTTTTTTTAAACAGATTGTTAAATGATACAGAAGTGACCTGAGGCATTTCTGGTACTTCCCTGAAATAGTACCTAATTTAGAAAAGAAAGGATATGTTTAGAAGAATCCAACTTTAAGCATAGCAAGGATGACAGTCTCAAAAAAAGCATATTAAATTAAAAATAAAACTTATATTATAAATCTTAAAAATATGCTACAAAGTATTTGAAGTAATACCCTTTTCATATTTGACAACAAGTTTAGAAAGTTAACAACATTAAGCAAATCAAACATCTATCTGTATACAGATTTTTTATATTAATCAGAAGATATACTGGTAAGTTATATGCCCAAAAAAAAAAATCACAAGTATCTTTCTTTTACTTACCTAATAAAATATTTTTATCCTCTCAACCAGCAACAAATTGTTGCAAACAAGAAGTTTACAAATGTGTTTTGACTTATACAAACCTGGGAGGGAGAGCTATGAGCAGCATCAAATTCTTCTTGTTTCCTACAGGCCTCTGCTAGAGCCAGTCTGTGAACAGGATCCCAGAGCTTTTCCTTGCGTTCTTTCTGTAACATAAAACCAGTGTCTTCAATATATCGACAAATACACATGTCAAAGTATGAAGACTACAAAAATAATTTGAAAATTCTGATTTGGGACACAATGGCTAAAAAAATTCAATACAATACTATAAATAAACAACAGTTGCTACACAGAAAAAAGAAATGTGTATCAGTAATTTGCAGACTTTTTGCCTCAATGGACCACTGTGAAGATGACCACCAGGCCACCTCCTGTTGTTCTGAAAAAATCACAGAAGAAATAGATTATGTCAAAACTAAACAAAAATCAGTCAGAGAGTAGCTCTCAAGCTCTGGCTAGTAGCCTACGTGTGTTAGCAAATCACATACTGTAGTTTCCTAGAAAAACTTAAGAATCGGAACAGTGAAATATGACTATACACCAGAAACAAAATTTAATTCCTTACCTGAATCCTCTCCTTCAGAGCTTTAGGATAGATATCATAGCCGTTTTTTATGCCAATGTGATATTTGCCTGAAGGATTTACCCAGTTTGCTGGAATCTACAGAAAAGCATATTCAGAAATAGGTTAACTAATGGCATTACATTTTTTTAAAATAAATCAACACCATGTAAGGGAGCTTAGCAGAACAGACTTGGAAATATCACAATTCCCTGTCTCCATGACAGTAACTACTGCACTAAGTTTCAACACCATGACCTGGCAATTTCAATCCAGTTCCAAAGGAATCAATACCAATTCATGTGACGCTGCCATTCAAACATCTTTAAGTAAGAATTGCGCTGACACTCTACTTTTAAAATATACAGCCCTGGCAGTGACTTTATCAGGTAGAGATCTGGGAAAATAATAGCACTGTAAATGAAGGGGTATTATGGTAAGTGATCATGACAAACATCCAAATGTCTAATTTCATATCTTCCTGCAGCTTAGACTCCCAGTATATCAGATCCACTATTCCTAGTAACAGCAGCAAAAGAGAGCAACAGATTCACCCTTACAATCATATCCCGTGCAAAATTCAGAAGAAAGCTGATAGCATGGAGAGATCCAAAGATTTGGAGCCCCCATATCACCTCAGCAATCTAACCAGCCAGTCAAGAACAAGTCAGTAACATCAGCAGTTCTATGTAGCCAAAACCTCTTCTAGATCTCATTGTATCATTTCTGAAAACCCTACATCATTTCTGTTCTAACGCAGTGAGCCTACAACTAAGTCCTTAAAGATTTTTCATATCTCTAGAACTATATATCACAAGTTTAACAGCATTCCTCTTGTAGATTATACAAGTGTGGAAAATACTAGCACTTTTAAAGACAGAACCCTGCTGGTATTTTTTAAAGCACGTCAGCATGTTTTCTTCAGTCAGCTTCCAAAACTGTATCAGATACTGATTTGAACAAAGAATAATTATATTATTATCAAGCCCCCAATCAAACTCTGTACACATCCCCATTCAGCTATAGAGAATATTCAATATAAAGACATATGAAAAGTAAAAGAAATGTCAAGCAATCCATATGAAGATGAGCAAATGCAGTATTAGTTTGGGATAAGATCTGGTTAAAAGGAAGTTCTGCAGAAACCAAAATATGTGCTAAATTTTTTGCTAAACAAGAAAAAAAAAAGGATTCCCAGTGGTGTCTCTATACCACCAAGTACTCACCTTCAAAGTTCTTCCAGAAAGACCGGTAACTTCCCCATCTTTAGGTTCTACAATGGTACATGTAGTTACATCGCCACTGCCTGTTGTATCAATTATATCAATTATCTTGGGTTTCCCATCAGTTGTAATCTGAAAATATGAAAATGAAAAATTGAAAGTGTAGTTGATTACCCTTTAGCATATACACCAAGAAATTTTTAATTTTTGTTAATAAAATATCAACTAACTTTCTTAAGCACCCAACCTCTAACTGAAGGATATAAAACCAAGTTGAAATGAGTTAAATTTCCAATGAATTAAGAGCAACATGTCCGTCTTTTTGGTTTACACAAATTCAGTAACTTATTTCTAAAAAGGATTTGAAGAGAAACAACAAAAAACATTGTATCAATAAAGCACATGAGCTTCAATTTAAAACCAAGCCTAAATTTGCAAAACCATTTGCAAAAACTACTGTTTATGTTCAATGATTTGCTGCATTGCTTCCATCCCACCATTCCGGCCAAATTTTGCAGTAATGAGTGCACAACTCTAACAAATGAAAGGTGCTGAAGTACATGCAGTCAAAAGCTTAAGTCTCTTAACTGAGCTTAAACCTAAAAGGAACACAAGTTACCATTATCTTATTTTTCCTGTTTCAAGGATTCTGCTTCACGTTTTAGGCAAGTGTTAGGAGCTATGGCTATATACTGTATAAGGAGTATATAACACTGCATAAGGAGAATATAATATATATGGTACACAATATATATGATACTGTATAAGAGTATTTTTAGCAGGGTGAGGACAAAAAGAGCTGACTGACTAGCTAAGAAGAGTTTACAAGCCTAAATTTAAATCCTCCTCAAATTAAATGCAAACTAGCCCTGCCGGACTTTACAGTAGTTGTAGGCAACTAAACAACATCAAAAAAGGAAACCACTAGCCTACCTAAAGTTCCCTTCACCTAGAGGAACCTTCTACACAATTACCAAGAGTATGATTAAGGTTTTTTTTTTTTTTACATTTACCAAAAATATTGAATGTTTATCTTCTTGTAAAAACATGGTTCATCTAGTAGGTACTGTATTAGTTTATTCAGCAAATAAGGTATGCTCCATATACAGTAGTATGTGTTTGAATGGCAACAGGAATTCAGAGGGCTGGAGCACCTCTCCTATGAGGACAGGCTGAGAAGAGTTGGGGTTGTTCAGCCTGGAGAAGAGAAGGTTCCGGGGAGACCTTACTGTGGCCTTTCAATACTTAAAAGGGGCTTATAAGAAAGATGGGGACCGACTTTTTAATAGGCTCTGTTGTGAAAGGACAAGGGCTAAGGGTTTTAAACTAAACGAAGGTAGATTCAGGCTAGATGTGAGGAAGAATTTTTTTACAATGAGGTGAAACACTGGAACTGGTTGCCCAGAGAGGTGGTACATGCCCCATCCCTGGAAACATTCAAGGCCAGGTTGGATCAGGCTCTGAGAAACCTGATCTAGCAAAACATGTCCCTGCTCATGGCAGGGGGGCCGGACTAGATGACCTTTAAAGGTCCCTTCCAACCCAAACCATTCGGTGATTTTATGAATTGGCCATATGCCCCTATTTTTACAGTTCTACATTAAAGATTGATGAATAGAAAGAATAAATAAATCAATAATCTTCCCAACATCTGCTATACACTAACCACACTGAAAGTGAAAAAAGCTTCTTGTTCAGAAAAGCAGCAACATTTGCTGTTTTCTACCATTTAAGTATCTGGTATTGTTGCCTTTATTCTCTATCAATAATTTTGATGTTAGACATAACATATGTGGCAGGTAGTTTTGCTTCAATCGTGCTCTGGAATTGTGAATTCAGCTGCTGGAACTTAACAACACGATCTAGCTGTTTCATAAAAGTCACTCTCTGTTGCTGCCAAAAAGACAAAAAAGGTCAAGTTTTTAATCACACATCAACAAATAAGGATAAATACGTCCATGGTGTCAAATTCTCATGGTTTGTTAAAACAAAACAAATCACAACACACCCAAAACACACATACAACCAAAAAAACCACCCCAAAACCCCAAACAAAACACCCAAAAAAACTCAACCAAAAAAACCCTCAAACAGAAAAATAACAAGGAACACCCCCCCCCCCAAAAAAACCCGGTTTAAAACGCTGAAAAACACCACAACA